CAATATTTAAAATTTTATTAAAAATTTTAAAATATGCAGGCAAATTTGCCTGTGTTACAATCTAAGGGATAATATTTGTTGCACAATAATTATATAATTTTTTTTATACAATAATGTTTATTGTGTGATAATTTTATAAAAAAAGTTGTTTTTTTTTAATAAAGTCATGTGCTTCATGTGATTGATTTTGATTGGTTGATTACGAAGTTACTATTGTAACAGATCGCTATAAACTAATGCTCTTATATTATTATTATATATTTTATATATTTATTAATTTATTTATATAATTTATAATATATTTTATTTATTTTAGTCACTCAAATGATAGTTTAATGTTAACTTTATTAGGATAGTTTTTACATAATTCCATTTAAAGCAATAGTTATTTAGATATTTAATTGGTGATTTGTTAGTTACCTGGTGTATGATCATAGTATAATATGATACAGATCACTATGTAAATCATATATACCTTGAATATGGTATTCGCCCAAGAAAAACTTTTTTGTATTAAATTAATCAGTCTTCTGTATTAAGTCAAAATTGTAGAGCTCATCAAGACGCATCTAACGGTGGTTAGATTATCCAGATCGGCCTAGTAGTTGTCGAGATATTGCTAAAAACGATTAGCTAACTATGTAAACAAACTATTGTTTACATAGAAATTTTACTTAGTCAGCCAATCATTTTTAGCGATATCTCGACAACTACTAGGCCGATTTGGATGATCTAACTACTGTTAGATACATCTTAATAAGCTTTACAATTTTGATTTAATACAGAAGACTGATTAATTTAGTACAAAAAAAGTTTTTCTTGGGCAAATACCATATTCAGAATATATGTAATTTATATAGTGATCTGTGTCATGTTATATTATGATCATATACCAGGTGACTAGCAAATTACCAATTAAATTTTTAGTTTGTTTAATGTAAACAGAACTTGGACCAAGATACATGAGCACAAATAGCACCTCAGGATAGCCCAGGATAATATTACAACAACATAAAAAATAAATAAAGCCAAACAAACTCAATTTGGCAAAAGTGCTCTTATTATATTAAAAGGTAACTATGCTATAATAAAAAGTATCTATGCTATAGTAAAAGATGCCTATCCTATAAGAAAGAGTGTCTATTCCTTAGTAAAAGATGCCTAATCTATTATTTCAAATACCTATTCACTATCTGGAAGTGCTTATCCAATATCAAAAGGTACTTTTACTATAAAAGAAAATACCCTTCTATTAATAAAAAGTGTCTTTTCTTAATAAATTACTATGTTTCTATAGTAATTTAATATTTTGAAAAAAGATATTTAAAGCCCTTTACTTTCTCTAAAGCACAGGAACAGTTGGTCCATATATTTTAGTCATTATAACTTTATATTTTTAATATTCTGCTTATAATTTTTATTTTAAGTCTTGAGTTATTTTTATTTTCTTCTTTATATAGTGATATAATCTCTTTTTGTTTTTCTGTTATATTGTACCATTTTTCTTGGAATTATTGTATTTTTCTTGAGTTATAATATTGTTTTATCTATGTTATTTTTTTGAGTATTCTTTGAGTTAATAAAAATCTATTTTTAGTATAAAATCTGTTGATTATAACTTTTTTATTTGAGGTCATATTGGCAATAAGTCAACAATATTTTATTTTATTTTTAAGTTATTTTTTATTATAAAATTATACAAACACATTTTTTAACTACTCGAACACTTAGTTAAATAGTGTGACTTGTTAACCAAAGGTCTAACAATATTATATTACAACAAAGTTTGCAATCTATTAGCAAGTATTGAATCTATGACTGCTAGCAATAGCTATGAATTATTACCACTTTTTTACAATTAATAATATATAAAAAATTTTAAATTATTCAATTTTTAATTATTATAATTACTATATTTGGCTAGTAATTATCAGAGATATAAATTTATATTATATGATAAATTTTAACAAAAATATTTTCATTAAAAAATTTTCAAAAAATAAAATAATAATAATAATTTTCTTTTGTTTTATTTAGATAAGTTATATCAGTATCTTTTATTTAATCAAATGCTACTTGTGGAAGTGCAAAACATTAAAATTGAGATCTGATACTCTACAATTATCTTACATAACCTAACCAATTATCTACATATATCTACAAGTTACCTGCCACACCAGGAAAGTATGACTAATTAAGATAATATCTCTGGGGGCTCATCTAACTACTGTTCTACAATAAAATATCATCAATCTAATGATATTTTCTCATAGAAAAATGAAAGAAAAAAAAAAATTTATAAAAGAAATACAAAAATATAAGAAAATAACCAAGAAAAAAAAAGGGTAAGAGAATTATGAAAAAAACTAAACTAAATATAAGATTTTTCACCCACACTGAACAGTCACAATTATGAAAATAGTCATAAAAAATTTTATTAGTAATATCAATTTTTTGATAAAATCGAAGAATACCATGCAGCTCATATGACAAAATGATCTACATACACTCTACCCTTAACGAACTTTAAATATTTTTGCTGCGCCACAACATGGCACACGTTTCAAATATGCAGCATATTAAAATCAAGTTATTCCAGAAGATCAAAAAAAAAAAAATTTTTAAAAGCTCAACATGAATTAACTTTTATTAATATACTTTTATTTTTTATATTTTAAAAATTGATCATGAGCCACATAAAAAAAAACACGTTTTTTAGGTTTTGAATTTTGGACCTAAATGTTTTAGAACCGAAACCTAACTTTACCATCACTAATTACAAACTGTTTCTTCCAGTTTGACTGATTTAGCTGCTGGCGACTTTTCAGCTTCATCAACGTCGTCTAACTTACGTTTATATCCGATTACTGATGTGGATGAACAATCGGCGCTTCCAGTACCTGTTTCTTCCAGTTCCAGTTTGACTGATTTAGCTGCTGACGACTTTTCAGCTTCATCGGCGTCGTCTAACTTACGTTTATATCCGATTACTGATGTGGATGAACAATCGGCGCTTCCAGAACCTGTTTCTTCCAGTTCCAGTTTGACTGATTTAGTCGCTGACGACTTTTCAGCTTCATAGGCGTCGTCTAACTTACGTTTATATCCGATTACTGATGTGGATGAACAATCGGCATTTCCAGTAACATCGTTATCCCCAGTCCTTTGTGCGTTATTTCTTTTTGTTTGATTATAACTAGACTTCTTTCTTGTTTCTTCCATAAATTTTCGTCTATTCAAATAATATAGTTTCTCATCTTCACCTAAGCCAATATAAAAAACACGTTTCGTAAAATAAATTAAAAAATAAACGATCAGAGAATCATTAAACGAACCTTCAAGCGCTTTAAAGACAGGCTTGAAACCATCAAATTCTAGGTTGTCATTTTGAATCGAGGAAACAACTTTTAAAGCGATTGGGCTCTCAAAATGGATTATTCCGCTTCTAAGCTGCTGATCTAATTTGACAAACACAACACTACCATAATCTGTTTCCATTTTGGCCTGTATTTAATTTCCATGATATCAAAGTTAATAATACATCGCATTATCAACTTTATGACATTTAATCCAGTATAAATAATACCTTAATGTCTTCCCAACGAACATTAGGTCCAACTCCCTCAAAACGTAATAAGCAATTCTTTTCATACTTAAACGAGTCTAATTTATGTTTCTTCGTAATATGCGGTATTTGCTTGCGCATAGTATCAGGATCCAATCCTTTTTCAACGCACTTCATTTCACAATAATCAAACCTACCATAAAATGTTTTTACGATAAAGACAACAATAATGACAATCTAATCTATCGTTTAATAATAATAATAATAATAATAATAATAATAATAATTTACTTCATCATTATTGTTAATTTTACGTCATTAAAAAACAGTTCCATCTCTGATATCTTTTTTGCTTCTTCGTGTGTTTCAAATTGTATAAAGTATGACCCCTTAAAGGTAAATAGTAAACAAATTAATTAAAATTACTACCAAAATATTAATTTGAATAATTTGGAATAAACAAAATTACTTTAAATTTTTCATTATCCTTGCGAGGTGTCACTTTAACAACTTTACCATATTTTTTGAAAAAGTCCTCGATGGATTTCTGAGGGGGTTGATTGACCGTGTCAAACCCTTTCTAATTAATTAATTAATTCAATGTAGTGAATCAAATAACCAATATGACAGTAAATGAACTCATCAAAAAGGTTTAAAATTATTACAGTATAAATCGACTTCCACATTGGCCCGGATTTTACATGTTCTGGAATTGGCATCCTGATAGGTGTTTTTCTCCGAATTTTTGTACCAGAATCATCAACTTCTAATATTTCTGGAGATTCTCGAAGAGCTTCAACAATTAATGCATCATCTTTGTAAACCTGCATTTTTTTAAATTGACGCACTATGGCAAGTTGGACCCCTGAACACGTATAGTCCGTTAAGGAATGTGAATCTTTAGAGAAATGATTAATCTCTGACGACAAATAAATGAAGGATACATCTTTGTGGGTCTTTGCTACACAGTTCCTTTAGGAATTTATCCTTTGGGAAATTTTTATCACCAAAATAATACTCCACTTGTTCAAGAATGCGTCGTTTTTCTTCTATTTCTTCCGAAGTTCGTTGAATTGGCTCACTCGGAGTGATATCTTTTAATGGATCGTTTAGAATATAGAACTATAGTTAATACAATAATAGTTGTTTATCGGCCTATAATATATATATTTTTTTTCGCTGAAATTTGTATTGGTCTTAACAGTTAATAACAGCATGAATTTTAAGCTTCCTTAGCGCAGCAACTCGGCTTTTGAACTAAGCATATGCTCACGTCTTCCTTCTTACTTGTATAATTCATTACCTATAGCATTTATGTCATTTATCTTTACACTTGAAGCTACCTCACCAGCGTTTTCCGGGATTTCAGATTTCATGTTTCAAAAAATAGCACGGTATAATAGTACTGTAGAATAGAATAGCGTTTTTTTTGATCAAAAAAAAAATTGATCTATGTCCAGTATCGCCAATGACACGTGACAGTCTGTGGCACAAACCAATCATATAATCAAGTAAAAAAGTTATAATGTGCCAGGTTTGTGGCGCAACGGTGGCGCATATTGCCTAAACGACCAGGAAAATTTGGAAAATTTAAAACATTCGTTTTGTCAAAAATCAAAAATCGAAAATCTGCCGCTAACCCTAACATTAGCGAACTTTAAAGGTTTTTTGCTGCGCCACAACCCTGGTACACATTTTAAACGGGCAAAAAATGTTTTTTTCGTGCCATTTAAATGGTATGACAAATAGTTATATTATACTAAAATAGCCAGTTTTAACTAGCTAATATAATATAGCTAGCTGGCTAATATGGTTAAAGTAATATAGTAGGCTTTCATTATAATTGGTCAATTTTTGTAGATTATTCTGTAATAATAAAATTTTATTAGTAATCTAAACTATTATCAGCAAATTTAAATAACCAAAATCTTTTTAAAGATTTTGCAATATATAGTTAGATTTTTATAAAAACAACCTCTCTAAATGCATATTCTATAAAAAACCTTCATAAATGCATGGCTTTGCTGTGTCTCTATTACATATATACTTATAGATTTTTATTACTCTAAATGCAATATCTTCCTAAATATAATATTTTTTAAAATTTCTATATGATTTGTATGAATTGTATTTAGAAAGAGTTAACTAAAAAAATATTTCGAAATATCAAAATTTAAAAAAATTTTGAAATATATTTTAAAAGTTTCTAAAATTTTTTTTAAAATATTATTTCAAAATATTTTAAATATAAAGAGTAAATTTACTTTTTCTGCTAATCATCAAAACTCAAATTTACAGAAAAAACAAAACAATGAAAACAACAAAAACACTCCAAAGCCACTAGAAAACCAAACTTAGAGCTCTAAGAAAAAAAAACGAAGACAACAAGAAATACTCAGTTTCTTAGAAGACTTGAGTAGAAGAAGCAGTACTAGTAAAGAAATAGAAGTAGTTGTGAAAAATTGGCTATAATTTTTCACACTTTACGAATTTTTGGGGAATTGGCCTTGACTCTGAATTGTAAATCTATTTTAATAATACAAGATTACAACATGTAATGAAGAGTAAACAAAAAAAAAACAACAAAAATTATGTGACAAAAGTAAACAATGCTAATAAATACATGCAGCACACAACAACAGTTTTCAACAACAATAAAATAACAGCAAGTCACATGAAGCAAATACTAACAGAATGATTAAGAAAGAAAATTAAGATACCTGAAATAATGAATATGGTATTAGAAAAGATCCAAGAATTACTAGCAGAAATATCTGAAGAAGAAATAGAAGCAATAATAGCAAAATATACTGGACAAAAACTTTTCCAAAAGAAATAGCTGATAAAAGAATAAAAAACCTCTACGAAGAGCTATAGCAGTATAACACAGGAAAATTAGAATATACAGCATCTAAACTCATTGAAAAAAACCAAGAAACCTTTCACAAAGTAATACAAAATAGTAATAACTCTGTTAACTGCATCATAGGACAAAAAATATTTAATATCTGGGACAAAATTAAAATAGGCAATAGAATAAGAAGAATACTAATAGATAGGGAAAAGCAAGTTGCTGAAGTAAAGATGAAAATAGAATTAGGTTGGAGCAAGAGACTTCAAGAACAAAGAAGTAGTCTACAAAGACAGCACAACAGGACAGCCCTAAAATCTATAGTACAACAATTCAAAGAAGTTGTCAAGTCCTCTATAACAACATATCATGAAACTATGAAGAAAATCAAAGAAGCAAAAAACAAAAAGAGACAAATCCTGCAAAAGAAAAAACAAGTAGCCGAAATAAAGTCAAAATTAGAAGCAGGCTGAAGCAAGAGACTTTAGGAACAAAGAAAAATTTAACAAAGGCAAAACAATGAAATAACGTTAAGGACTCTAGTCGTAAAATTTAAAGTATTAGCCGAATTAGAGTTAGCAAGACAAGAAAAAAAAAGAAGAATAGCTAAGAAAAGGAAAGAAAAGAAAATTAAAGAACCAAAAACTGAGGTTATTGTTAAAGAAAAAGATCTAGGCAAGACCCAGAAAGACCCAAAACCAAAGGCCGAATTGTCAAACCCAACAGAATAGTTAATTGAAGTAATATATCAAATAAGCATTAAAGACTTACAGACGGATGACAGAGCATAGAAGATAAAAAGTAAAGACCTGCTTATAAAATAGATATAGTGTTTAAAGACCCAAAGAGATTTTGATGTGAAATGGACCCAAGATACTTTGACATATAGGCAAAAAGGAGCCAAAAATTGGAAAAGAAGAAAAAAGATATGTTACTAAGAATATTAGAAAAGATCTTTGTTGAAATTTTTAAAGACCGGAGGATTTGGAATGAAATTTAAGAGAAATTTTCAGATAGAAAACTAAAATCTAGAAAGAAAAAAGAAAAAAAAAAGGTAAAGAAGAAAAAAAAAACAAACAAACCTAGTTTACGAAAGAAAAAGAATCCAAGCAGACTACTCAAGGCTTGAAAGTGAAAAGACCAAAGGAAGGTCCAAAATACTTTGAAGAAAAGAAGGCTTACAGAAGAATATACTTAGAAAACTCAGTAAAAGAAGCTCTCAAGAAGTAGGAAGACTTCATAGTATGGTGATATAAGAAGAGAAGACCGTCGAAAAGAATATAAGAAGACTCTTGCAAGCAGGATCACTTATTGGTAGAGACTTACTAAACTGAAAGAAGAGAAGAAGGAAATATAAATATAGACAAAAGAATTCTGGCAACTTCCCTTTATTAAGAGATAAAATAGAGTTACTTGTTAAAGAAAAATTAGATTTAGATTATTGTTTTAAGGAGGAGAATAGTTTATTAAGGGGAAATTGCCAATTAGATATAGTTAAAAATTCTTTTAATTCAAAATCATCTTGCTATGGTTTTACCAACTAGCTTGGTATAGTTTCCAGGGCAGGCAATAGCCTTATCCGGTGAGGCAAACCGCACTTGAGCACCCTTTGGGGCAGCCGAGTGATATAGGATCTGTAACTTAGATAGTTATAAAATGTTTTGTATTTGCTTTGATTTAATAAAGATACCAGTAAGGCTGCCAATATGTTAAAAAAAAAAAATAAATAAAAATAAATATAAAGAGTGTAACAACTTAGTGAAGTAGTTAAATTGTTATATTTCAAGTAATATGTTAGCAAGGTAGGAGTAGTGTTTTGAAGTTCAGTTTAGTTCAATTTAGGTTTAGGTTCAAGTTCAATTAAACCTAAACTGAACTTTAAATTTTGCAGATCTTTGAACCTAAACCTAAACTAAATTTTAAATTTATGAACTTGAACTAAACCTGAACTCAAAGTTTTGGTTCAGTTCAAGTTCAGTTCAAGTTCATGAACAT